GTCTTAATTGTTTAGATTTTTAGAAGGCACATTAACTTTTTTCTCATTTACAACTCTGTGTTTGCTGCGTAAAAACATGAGTTGATATTTGCATTGATCTGACCATAATCACAAAGAAAGGCTTATTGGAAATGCAAATTCATTCTCTGCCACGAGGTGGCGCTTTAGGAGCGCTGAAATATTGCGGTTTCCCCAGTAACGGCTGTACACAAAGCAGCTCCGCGCTCATAAACGCTGCTTTATCTGGAATTATACGTAAAATTAAATGAAAATGCCAACGACACGTTTCTGAGGACAGTCGGTTCCCTTCAGATACATTCAAATAAAAGAGAAATCCAGCCGTATCGCGACGCTTGTCTTTCCGTCCCCAACTGTAAGACCTCTTGAAATTATACTTAAGACGTTTCTTATACCATTTAACATATTTAAAACTTTTTATGGCCTTAAGTTTGATACAACTCACTTTAGGAGTTTTTAAGGACCCGCGGGAGATCTGCATTTAAGGTAGCCCATCGGGCAGAGTGGTGATACATTTTGGTAGCCCCACTGGAAAACACAATAGCCCCGGGACGTCGGGCTAGCGATTTTGCAAGCCCTGTTTTGGCACTCCCAGTCATGTAACCCTGTCAGAAGAGAGAAATGATGTGAAACAATAAGCCAAAAGAGACCATTCATTACATTGATTCAACCACAGTTAAAGGGATAGATTGCCCAAAAATGAAAATTCTGCCATTAATTACTCACCCTCATAACATTCCAAACCCATAAGACCTTCGTTTATCCTTGGAACACACATCTTTAGAACACACATTTTTTTTTTGCTTTTGGAATAAATAGGAGATCAAAAATCATATCTGTCATAGTCTCTTATTCACCACCATAGAAGTTTACCAAACGATGACAACTTCTCTTCTTGAGAATTATGGAAATATCAAAAGGGTCTGTAAGAGGCAGGTGTGTTTTATTAAAATCTGCCATACAGAGGTCCTTTAACACACAATATACATATATATGAAAGTATTAATTTTTAATAAAACTCTACTATTCAATAAAAGGTAAGAATATTCTCTGGAAAAAAAATCTTAAACCAGCCTCAGTTCGGCTACCGTCGGACCAAAATGAGGTATCTTAGAAGGCTGCATATTTGTGCATATTATGCATATATTGGCTGTTTTACCAGGTTTTAAAGTACTTTTGCTTGGATTTTGCTACAATGTAGTAGATCTAGGATTAATGCCATGAATAACCTTATTCTGTCCTTTTCTCAGGGTCAGGGGGTGGTCAGAGAGTGGTTTGACATTCTGTCCAATGAGATCATCAACCCGGACTATGCACTGTTTACACAATCAGCTGATGGTAAAAACCTTATGTACAATACTATCAGCTGTTTATACTGTAATATTGCGACAAATCCCGACAGTAAACTGATGCCTTGTTCTGTTTATGCTGTACTGACACGAAGTTCAAATGACTTGCAACGGTCGGTTTGTCGCGTCTAGTGTAGACGGCCTTTAGCGGTTGCAGTGCGGTATAGAAACGGTGTAATGCAACATTTCTGAGCTCATGGATTTGTATTGAGATGACTAGATTTCTCCATGAAAATCCGCCGAACAATGTAAATGCGTTCGCTCCTTTAAAGTCACTTTGTTTTAAAGTGTTCACATACTGTACTGTAGGTGTGATCAAATTAACGCCATTTCGTAGCAAATCTGTGTGACCAACATTGTGAAATCTGCATGGGGAAGTCGTTCACTCCCACATGGAGTTCGGTGATTTCCTATTGAAATTACTGGTTTTAAGTCACTGTACAACAGTAAATGTGACTGTACCATCACAATACAAATTATATGCACAGATTTAATGGGGAAAAAAATTACATTCTATAAAAACAGAAGTGCAGGAGAGGCCACCAGCCTGCTTTTAGCATGTGAGACCTAGCGCTTGCAGAAGGAAAAGATTGGATCAGATTTGTGCCAGACAATGGCTTTTTAATTTTTTAGTGTGTGAAGAAGCTCATTGGTCACTGCCAAGGGGAATCTTGATGTCGGCTGAGGGTCTGCAGGGCCATGAGCTCAGCAGGGAGTCGCTTGGGCCATTAACGTCCTCTCGCTGAGAGATGTGGATGTTGCCTCTGAACTCTTGACTATGTAAATGAAGCTTATGACTGAAAATCAGCAAAGAAACCGGCTAGTGGGACTATGCCTTTAGATAAAACATTTTCTCTGTCATTTATGCAGAACTAGACAACATTCCATTCTCTTCTCAGATACAATGTGCTGTGTTTACAGTTTTCTATTTGTTTTTTTCTCTCTCTCAAATACTTGTACAGGTACCACGTTTCAACCCAACAGTAATTCCTCTGTAAACCCAGATCATCTAAACTACTTCGGATTTGCTGGTCAAATCCTGGGTCTGGCTCTCTACCATCGACAGCTGGTGAACATCTACTTCACACATATATTTCTCTGTTTCGGTTATATAAACTTAAAACCCTAGTGAGCTGTCTACCTGGACAGAATTTTAAGGCATGACTGTTTTCAACATTGATAATAAATGTATGCGGATTTGCTGGTCAAATCCTGGGTCTGGCTCTCTACCATCGACAGCTGGTGAACATCTACTTCACACGCTCCTTTTACAAGCACATACTGGGTAACCCACTCCACTCACATAGTGTTTATATCAGAGAATTTACTTGTAAATAGTTCTGTATCAGCACATTTTTACATTGAATCTGTTTGTTATACTTCTTTTTGCATGCATTCATACAGATTAGTAGGGCTGCCCTCGACTAAGGATTTTTTTGTTTACAAGCACAAGAATAATCACAAGTATATCAGGAATTTTCATATACATCATGCCAACAGAACCCATTTGCCACAACTTGATTAAACCAATATTCTGGTAAACATAGTCATTAACAGGAGTGTCTGCAACATGCATGATATGTAAAAGTGTGTTTGTGTGGGATCTTTGCAGGCATCCCAGTGAGCTATCAGGATGTGTCATCCATTGACCCAGAGTATGCTAAAAATCTGCAGTGGATTCTGGACAATGACATCAGTGACCTTGGCCTTGAGCTCACCTTCTCTGTAGAGACAGATGTGTTTGGAACTATGGAAGAGGTCCCTCTCAAACCAGGAGGAATTGCCATTCAGGTCACCCAAGACAACAAGGTAATATATATATATATAAATTCAGCTTTGATCACAGGAATAAGTTACATTTTAAAATATATTGAAATAGAAAATTGTTATTTTAAATTGTAATAATGTTTTACTGTATTACTGTTTTTACTGTATGTTTGATCATGTAAATACGGCATTGGTGAGAACAAGAGACTTCTTAAAAAAAAATAAAAAACTTTTTAAAAATCATACTAATCTCAAACTTTTGGATGTTTTGAGTATATTTGTGCACATTAGAGTATTGCATTTTTACTTTAGCTAAAATCAAACTATTGGAATCAACTACAAAAAACTGGGGTAAAATGAGCCAATTGCCTATATTATTTTTGAGTCGAATAGGCTAATATTCATCGCAATTAAAACTTAGTAGTTGTGTCTCCATCATCTTTTTTAAAATCATTTACACTTGCATGAGATGAAGTACCTTTTTTAATTATTATTAGGGACATTTGCCCTCATTTTAGTCACTCAGACTGCTGAGAACAAAGCAGTCTGTCCATGATTTTGAAGTGAATGATGGTGCTTTTTTGTCTGATTTGTCATGTTTCTGTGTGTGTCAGGAGGAGTATGTGCAGCTGGTGACGGAGCTCAGGATGACCCGAGCGATTCAGCCGCAGATCGATGCCTTCCTGCAGGGCTTTCACACTTTCATCCTCCCCTCGCTCATCCAGCTCTTTGATGAATATGAGCTGGTCAGTAGATTCCTCCTCTCATCTCTGCATGAGACTCCTGCTTCTATCTCTTTATATTCTCATGTTGCATTTTTCATTTGGAGTTTCCCTTTGCTATTTTTCTCTCCTGTGCTCACTGAAGAAACACACGCGTGCGCACGCACACACACACACACACACACACACACACACACACACACAACAACAGCAACCACAGTATGCTTTGTAGTATGGATTAAGATGAAAGCCCTGAACACCAATAAAATGAGCAAGTTAATAAGCTCACTCATACACAGTCTATACAAAATTTATCCACAACATAACCTGTGCAAATGCAAGCTGTAGTATTTTGTTTATGTAGTGAACGCACAAGTAAACTGGAACCAAGTTACATGCTAATCATAATGTAACTCTAAAATAGAGAAAATTAACATCAATATAATGAAGAATTCACAACAGAGGAACAGCACAATAGTTAATACTTCAGTATACTCAATTTCAGAAGCTCAGGCTTTCACAAGATACGACTTTTACATGTTGATAACAAATTATATGCTATGCCATTTCAGTCATTAAATGCAATGAATGATTTTCAGACAACAATATCAGACTTGATATAAGCCTGTTAGTTTTTGCACAAAGCCACAGCAGTTTTGGGATTCAGCAGTGTTACCCCAAAAAATAAATTGTAATGATTTTATAACATGCATGTAATTCTAGTGATTAAAAAAAAAAAAAAAAGTGAATCGGGCCTAGAACAGACATGACTGAATGAATGAATGAATAAATAAAGTCTTCTGAAGATGTAAAAGTTTTGTGATCAATAGTTTTGTCATAAAACTTTTATTAAGTATTTGCTGACAAACTCACGGTTAAGACAGCTGACTCCACTGTGATGTGACCCTGTCTCTCTCTCTCTCTCTCACACACACACGTGCGCACGCACACACACACACACACACACACACACACACACACACACAACAACAGCAACCACAGTATGCTTTGTAGTATGGATTAAGATGAAAGCCCTGAACACCAATAAAATGAGCAAGTTAATAAGCTCACTCATACACAGTCTATACAAAATTTATCCACAACATAACCTGTGCAAATGCAAGCTGTAGTATTTTGTTTATGTAGTGAACGCACAAGTAAACTGGAACCAAGTTACATGCTAATCATAATGTAACTCTAAAATAGAGAAAATTAACATCAATATAATGAAGAATTCACAACAGAGGAACAGCACAATAGTTAATACTTCAGTATACTCAATTTCAGAAGCTCAGGCTTTCACAAGATACGACTTTTACATGTTGATAACAAATTATATGCTATGCCATTTCAGTCATTAAATGCAATGAATGATTTTCAGACAACAATATCAGACTTGATATAAGCCTGTTAGTTTTTGCACAAAGCCACAGCAGTTTTGGGATTCAGCAGTGTTACCCCAAAAAATAAATTGTAATGATTTTATAACATGCATGTAATTCTAGTGATTAAAAAAAAAAAAAAAAAGTGAATCGGGACTAGAACAGACATGACTGAATGAATGAATGAATAAATAAAGTCTTCTGAAGATGTAAAAGTTTTGTGATCAATAGTTTTGTCATAAAACTTTTATTAAGTATTTGCTGACAAACTACCTATTTGCTTGTACACTTAAAACACGGTGCCGCTAGATGCTTTGCACCAGGTTTGACATCAGGTATGGCGTATTTGAAACAACATGAGAGTAAATGATGACAGAATATAAATTTTTGGAGAGCTGTTAAGAATGCACCAGAATCTTAGAATGTGTGTTTGAAGGCGTGGTATGTTTTATGTTTGTATGAGCAGGAACTGCTGTTGTCAGGCATGCCTGAAATTGATGTGATGGACTGGAAGAAGAACACAGAGTACACTAGTGGCTACGACCTGCAGGAGCCTGTTATACAGGTATCCCATCAGCACCAGCACACACAAAACATGCTGCTTCATAGAGACGGATGATGTACATAAACAATACATATAAATATACATAACAAAACAGTGATGTCAAAATGTTTACATTATCACATTTATGGTGAGACCACTATTGCTAGTCAGAAGGTCCGTCAGAGATAACAACAGTAGCTTGGCAGAGAGTAAACTGCCTGATGGCTGTGGTGTAGTTATAAATGTCGATTAAAAACTATATATGAAAATGTGTACCAGTTGACAAGTATCTACCAGGCTGTGATTAGAGACTGTGTGTTTTTGTTGCAGTGGTTTTGGGAAGTGGTTGAAAATCTCACTCAAGAAGAAAGAGTCCTTCTCTTACAGTTTGTTACAGGAAGGTACGTATAGTTATTTCCTTATTCTGTATGCTGGCACTTCATGCTGTATAAATGTTGTCAGAAAGTGACCATTTATAATTGTATGACACTTGTAAGGTACAAAATAGGGTTTGAAAATGTAAAAATTCCTTCCTTCCTTCTTTTTCTTTTTCTAAAAATGTTCCAGTGAAAGGAAATATTTAATACAGAAGCCGTAAACTGCAACATGAAAAATAAGACATTTCCTATGAAAGCCCATTTTCTGCCATGGAATAATAGATTAAAATGAGTAGATTCGACTTTTTATGTCCCTCTCACAATTGAGATGAATGCAATTATGAAAAAATAAGTCACAATTTAGAGTTTGTTTCTTCAGTTTGGATTTTGTTTGTTCAGAATTGAAAGAAACAAACTCCAAATTGTTACAATTTGTAAGTCGTAAATTTGTAATTGTTACAAGTGTAAGTTATTTATTTATTTATATATTTATTTATTTTTCATGGTGGAAAAAGGCTTCCATACTGTCCTGATAAGATGCAACTGAAAAAAATATTATTATTATTATTATTGCTAGCTAACAATTTTTTTAAAACATAAAAAAATGGAGAGATTTATTTGAGAGAGAAAAATCAGAGAGAGAGAAGAAATTGGAGAGACAGAATTATTGGTTGTTTTAAAGAATGTTACATATTTTGTAATGGGTTAATTTATATTTATAAAACAGATAGTTCCGGTCCTTGATTCTGATTGGTTGAGCCAAGTTCAAAGCTGTTGTAAATTACTCTACAAACATACACTTTTGTTTGCATTTGTGTGTTACTTGGCAACCACTTTGTTGGAACCACAACCGTTTCTGAGGAACTACATTGTTTAGCGGAAGAATAATGTTTTTATTAATATCATTACACTTTATTTGCTCTGTTTTATTTTGTGAAACCTTACTACGTATATGGAATAACCGTTTTATAAATGCAATAAGCCCTGTGAAGCCGTGGTTTACAGTGAATTTATAACAGCTAAGGGGGTTGTTTATAACAGCTAACAATGCCCCTTAGCTGTTATAAATTAACTGTAAACCACGGCTTTTTGGGGCTTATTGCTTTAGTAAAGTAGTTTACATACAAAATGGTTTCGGTAAAATGTGTAAAAAAAATATATGGAATAACCGTTTTATAAAAGCAATAAGCCCTGTGAAGCCGTGGTTTACAGTGAATTTATAACAGCTAAGGGGGTTGTTTATAACAGCTAACAATGCCCCTTAGCTGTTATAAATTAACTGTAAACCACGGCTTTTTGGGGCTTATTGCTTTAGTAAAGTAGTTTACATACAAAATGGTTTCGGTAAAATGTGTAAAAAAAAATATATGGAATAACCGTTTTATAAAAGCAATAAGCCCCGTGAAGGAATAACCATTTTATAAAAGCAATAAGCCCTGTGAAGCCGTGGTTTACAGTGAATTTATAACAGCTAAGGGGGTTGTTTATAACAGCTAACAACGCCACTTAGCTGTTATAAATTCACTGTAAACCACGGCTTCTTGGGGCTTATTGCTTTAGTAAAGTAGTTTACATACAAAATGGTTTCGGTAAAATGTGTAAAAAAAAAAAAAATTATATATTTGTTTAAAAAATTACCTACTCATAATTAAATGGCATTGTTGAATGATTATAATTGTAGCTGAGAGATAGCTAAGAAGGTCAAGACTTCTGAAGCTGAACAGGCCAAAATGTCCATTTTAAATCGGGTATGGTGTACATACAGACATTTGATTTATTTAAACCTAGATAATGTTTTATGCTGTGTCAGTGTTTCTGTTATATAATAAATGATTTGTTATGTCTAATATGCGTCACTGCCAAAAACATGGGATTTGTGCCTCTCTTTTAAGTGATACTGTTTTCTTCTAACAGTTCAAGAGTTCCTCATGGAGGATTTGCTTTTCTTCTGGGTGGCAGCGGTCTGCAGAAGTTTACTATTGCCGCTGTGCCCTACACATCAAACCTACTGCCTACCTCTAGTACATGGTAAGAGACAGATGGATAGTGCTGTTCAGATAGAAACACTAGGGGGCAATGTGGCTCTTCTGACATTTCTGAGCTGTAAACACAGAGCTGCTTTAAAACATAATGATGAAGAACTGGAAGAGTGAGAAAGACTAACAAATAGAAAAAAAAGTGTGTGTAATGAAACCGGTTTGACTCTCACAGTGCAGCATCACTTACCGATCTCTCTCTCTTCTCCTAGTATTAACATGCTGAAACTCCCAGAATACCCCAGCAAGGACGTCCTACGTGATCGTTTGCTGGTTGCACTGCATTGTGGGAGTTACGGATACACCATGGCGTGACGCCGGCTTCTGCGTTTGCTGAGAATTCTGCTCTGTGGACACACGACGCACACATGGCTCAGTTCAGGGATACTTCAACACTTTGATTCAAAAGCCTTTATATTTTATTTATTTTTGGCACGAGGAAATTTATGACAAGGACATCAGTGAATAATGACATGAATTAATGATACTTCAGGCACTGAGGCTGTTTTGTATATGTGAAAAAGATGTTCAGGTCACATTTCGCAGTAAATTCAAAATAAGGATTTTTTAATTTAGTTTTTCATTGCTGTAATACTCATTTTTCAATATTACACCAAATGCAATACTATTATACATTTTTTAAAATTAGAATTAATATTCATTTTTCTGTATTACACCAAATGCAATACTATTATACAGTTTTTTTTATTAGTAGTAGTATTATTATTTATTAAAATCCTTTAAAATATTACTTTTATTCATATGTAATGTACACACACACACTTGTTGGTGAATACGGTCTGTACAGTATAAAAACCATTACGCCTATGGAGAGTCCCCATAAACCATAAAAACAAACCTGTGTGTGTTGTGTATATTTATTTTTATTTTTTTTAAGAAAACTCCATCACCAGGGTGTGGCAAATGTGTTCGGAATAATTTCAACATGTAGCTATGTAGTTACTTGCTGCTCAAGTCGAAAGATTCCCAAGATAGAAAGAAATAGCACGCCTCACCAATGATTCATGTCTGAAACTCAAATCACAGGAAGAATTCTTCCCTTAAGTGCATTATTTGAACAAATCCCTATCTCTGAGTATGAGCGGTAGAGTGCTGTAGTGATGACGCATATTTGTAGGCCAACCAGAAGTTACAGTAACATCACCCTGGATCTCTTCGGGAAAAAAAATAATTTTTCCATTTGATTTTGGAATATTGCAGAAAATAAGCTCAGTGACCCAGTGTTCAAATTGTGTCAAAGCTCTTGGGGGGTCCCCCTAACCAGACCCCCCGCCCAATATTTTGCTAAATGTGTGTTGCGCTGCAGGACTGCCACAGACAGCTGACTCCTAAAGTTTTTGATATTCTTCATATTCTGTGTGATGGTCAGTTGTCAATTAATCTTTTTCAACCAGTTTAAAGAGATTTATTCCATTTTTTCTAGAGGTGTGCATTATATTTTGTGTCAAATTCTTATATTTAATCAATAAAGTCAATTAGAATAATACGATATTTGGGGCTGTTATTATCAACAAAATGAATCTTTGCAATGCAGAGGAAACACAAAAGCTGCATCTGAAGTGGCATTTAGATGTATTTACAATGCAGCTTAGAGGGACATTTAGGGGTGCTTTAACCTGCAGTACCAAATGCATAAATAATGTTTTAATATTTTAATCCTAAAATGTTGAATACTGATATTTGGATTTATAAAAAAAAATGAAAATATACTTTAAATGTGAAATTAAAACTGCCAGTAGGTGGCAGCAAGTCACTATTAATAAGTGAGTCATTGCTCATTTAAACGGTTGATTCATTCAGGAACGAAATACCGTCATGTTGCTCTGAGACGCAAAACAGCGCAGTGGCTGTATTTGGAACCATTTGTTGGCGAAATAGAGCAAAACTAGGCAATATGGTGTCTAAAACGTAAGTCTCTTAATACTGACCTAGTTTATTGAATTGTATAAAATCAATATAAAATTTGTGATTTTTGCGAGAAAAAAATGGCACGCTTCGTGTGATATTTATTAACTATGAAATTATGTAAATGTATAAATTTTCTGTCCCCATATCTTGAATTTTGGGAGCATTCTAAATGCATTTTATTAGACTGAATCATGCAGTTAAAGAACAGTTAAAGAACGCACTCTTAAATGAGCAGTCAGTCTAGCAGCTAGTGTGTAAGCACTCCTCTTATAATCAATGAAGCTGTCCATACACTGTATGATAAATGAATATCTTACATCGTACGTACATCTGCACTTTGTTGCTTATGATGAGGGAATTCGCGAGTTTCAGTCTGAATCAATCCGAACGCCTCTGATTGGCCACTGCATTCCTAAGCTCAACAGAATCTCGATTGATTGGTTATAATGAGCAACGCTGTAAAAACGTGTAAAAATAAAATATGTAACATGAGCAAGTCTAAATTTAATACAGCAATCGAAACTATTCATTTAATTTTCTTTTTCACTAGTTTCATGTTTCAAGTATTATAGTTTTATTGAAAAACCACTGGACACCCCAAGTATATATATTTTTTGGATGTTATGGGGGGTCCATTATGCTTATGGGAGGATTGATGTGTGTAATCCACAAATCTAAAATAAACAGCTTTCTTTAGTGACTACATTTTACACTGAGTTCACTGAAAAATCTACATAAACACAATTCCAGCATTCATTTTATTCTGCTGAAGCTCAGCATCACCACATGAACATGAACAAGCACGTTACAATGTGCTACGCATCAGTTTCTGTCCACTATTACCATAGTGTGCATGAGGCCCTTGGCAGTTGGCGAAAGTGCAGTTTTGATATCACCTGCTCACTACACCAGTGCTATTGTAATTGTACGCTGCTCTCCATGGCAACGCAGCATCCAGAGCTAGAGCGACTCAGCATGGGGGCTCGCCCGAAGCTGGGACAGATGAGAACTAAACATATGTCACCATGACAGCCAAGCAAAAACAAGATTGAAAGAGTCAGAGAAGCAGGGGGAACTAGAATAAGCTCGACAAAATAGAGTATACATACAGACGTACAGTATATATGCGTGCGATTCGTTGTGCACCCCAATGGACAGATGGGACGGATACAGATTGTACTTTTCATGCTATTGTGCTTTTCCACAAAACTTTTGGCTCTCCATGTCCTCTTGTGTGACATATATGGCTTTAACTCTTGCATCCCATTCCATTACAATCTGTTCCAGTTCAACTGAAGTTCCAGTCAATAAAATTGGAAAAAAGGGAGAAGGTTTCGCTCCACACTGAGACACCTTCATCCATCCAGCTCTTTCTCTGTCAAACTCTGATTCTCATGTTATTGTACAGTAATCAACTGCTGAATCATCCTGCCATAGTTGAAATTCCCATTTACAAATGCTTTGCTGGGAGACTTTACACTGTAAAAAAAAAAAATCTGTAAAATTTACGATAAAAAACGGCAGCTGTGGTTGCCGAAAGACGAAACATAGTTATTTCAACAAAAAAAAACATCAAATTTGAAATGTAACGCAGGGAATTCTGGGAATGTCAATTTTTGTCTTTTTCACTTCCAAAAATGGTATACTACCGTAAAATTACATGTAATGTCCAATACAGTTTTTCACCGTATATAGTAGGGGAATTTACCATTAACCATTTAACATGGTTTTACTGTAGCATTTTTTTTTACAGTCTTTTACCGTTAAATTCACTGTCATTTTTTACAGTGTACACTCTAAAAAATGCTGGGTTAAATACAACGTAGTGATGGGTAAAATAGGGACAAACCCAGCAATTGGGTTGTTTTGACCCAGCGGTTGGGTTAAATGTTTAACCCAACCTTCTGGGTAGTAACCCAACCACTGGGCCTAAAAACGGTATACTACCGTAAAATTACATGTAATGTCCAATACAGTTTTTCACCGTATATAGTAGGGGAATTTACCATTAACCATTTAACATGGTTTTACTGTAGCATTTTTTTTTACAGTCTTTTACCGTTAAATTCACTGTCATTTTTTAGAGTGTAAGGTTCATCAGGCACCATGGAAAAGAGTTTTCATAATCTAAACGTTAAGCAGTGTGGGGGTGGGAGATTTGGTGTTTTGTAAACTTTCATCATTATCTGTGGATCAGGACATACTGAGGATTTGACACAATTTATGATCGCTTCTGCTCTAATAAGATCTGATTATCCTGCGGGTGGTTCTGGTAGATTTGCATTTCTCGGAGGCATCACACAAACCCTGAAGCGGCACACTGATGATTTCACCTTACAAAAATCAACCAAGGTGACAGATATAAGGCAAAATACAAGACCACTGATGAACTAAAAGCATCCAGTAGCATCATGGCGTGGATTGGTTCTTTGTGAAAGCATATGAAAATTAAATAATGCAACACTGTGCATGACATTCAAAGTGCATGCATTTTATCAATCAAAATTAGTGGTGCCTGATCAATGTTAAATAATTCTACTTGCGCGATTGAATGTATATTTCAAGAAATAGTTCACCCAAGAATGAATAGTCATCATTTACTCAACCTCATGCTATTCCAATCTTGTATGATTTTCTTTGTGTGTGGAATGACTGAGTATTTGAATAATCTTTCAGCTGTTTATGTCCATACAATAACAGTCAATGGGGTCCAAACATTTTAAGCTCCAAAAAGGACATAGAGGAAGCGTAAAAGTAATCCATACAACTCTAGTGGTTTAATCCATGTATTCTGAAGCAATGAAAGCACTTTTTATAAAAACAGTGCAAAACATAAGTGGTTGTTCACACTCAAATCAAATCTTTGATGAGAGATATCTGCCTATGGCGCACTAAATTGGAAACACTTTTGCAAAGTCTAAACTCTAAATCTGATTTACTGACTTCTACCCAATTTCCAGGAGCCTGGTGTGTTGTACTCTTTAACGAGTCGGAAAGTTCTTTACCTCCACACTGTTCATTAAAATCATGTACACATATCTATGGACTAGACTTGTGCAGGTATTCGGTAATGCAATATATCACGGTAATGAATATGCACGATATTGTTATTGTGGGCACTTCTAAATACCGTGAATAATTATATATTACAAATTATTTAGAATTTTGAATGCATTTTAATAATACTTTTCCCATCAACTGGTCCAAATGCACAACACCTCTGTATGCTGCATGAAAGACCCGTGCACACTCTGACATAAACAAGCACGGACCAGAAGCACATGGCGGAACATGTGAGAGAAAGAACCAAAGGCTTAAACTACTTCAGTCTGTGTGCACTGAATTTATTTAATACACGAGTTTCACAATTTGAGTTGAATTACTGAAATAAATGAACTTTTCCACGACATTCTAATTTATTGAGATGCACCTGTATAACAGAAGACCAGATTAAGGTCTGCACCTCACTAGAGAGGGAATATCTACTGTATCAATCACAGGCGGACAATTTAGTTTTGTATTTGGATTACCCATATTGCTTGTGGGCAGTACAAAGTGGACCAATGTGCTCCAAACAAACGTGTACCAGGAGCGCCTGATGGCTGTTGGCGAAGTGCACAACATTGAAATTATCAGACTTCAGTCGTTGTAGGTGGATTATAATTCCAAGAACAATCTTAACAGACATCTCCAACCAATGTGTTTTTAATGCAGATTGTTGCCCAATATTTGCGTCCATATTTGTGCCCAT